AACGAGCGGCTCGGCAGTGGGAGATGTACTCTTTGGTTTTCTAAGCTATCCGTTTTACGATGGCAAAAAGATTAGCAAAAAACGTGTGTGCCACTCAAAATTTGCATTATTATCAATTAAATATGCACATAATTTAATTTATTTGTATTTATTTATTTAGTTATTGACTTATTTTTAAGGAGGATAAAGCCACTTGAGATTAAGCATCTCGTTTACAAGTGAGCAGAGGTGGAAACGAATTGAGTAGCTTTTTTGTGTATTAATACTTTTTAAGTTGTTTTGAAAATCCGTACATTTACTTTTACTAGAGTATGTTTTTTTAAGAATTGTAATTCGCTTTTTTTAAGAATTGTAATTCGCTATTTAAATCATATCCGTAACTGAAATAAGTTGTAGCTTAATGAATTAAAAATATTGTATGAGAGCCAACGGGGGGGGGGGGGGGGGGGGGGGGGGGTACACCTTAGATAAGGAGGACAAACAGACATTTTTACCGCAGTTTTGCTCAAAAACATTAGTTCAGTCGTGCGATCCACTCGCTGTTTACCTCCTCTCCCTCCTCTCCTGTGGGTTGGAACCCGCACCTTAGCGCACCGGTGTGACGTCATCAGAATTCTGCTCGGTTCGGTAACCAGACTCGGTTCCGTGATTGAAACGTGTTTCCCTACCGCTCCGCACGGCAGCGGCAAAATAACGTTTAGCGCTCATAACAAGCGGATTATCAGCGCTTTGCTCATAAAACAGGAGACCTGCAGGCCTCTGTGAGTTAATCCTGATACTGTTCAGGTGTAAACATTGTGCTCCATCCCTGTTTGAACTCAGAAGATGCTTCTTGATGCCGCAGATTTGTGATGATTTAGCTTGTTTCTTTATTTTACTCCAGAATAAGAGATTAAATTATTACTAAAGCAGTTATGTAGTTAAATTAGTCATTCACCTGATTCTAACATGCTGCTGCTGCTGCTGTGTGTGTGTGTGTGTGTGTATGTGTGTGTGTGTGTGTGTGTGTGTGTGTGTGTGTGTTAGCCATTAGTCTTTTAGCTAAAAAGTAATTAATGGGACCTTTAGTCATTACTTAAATATATATGTTGTTGTGACAGTAAAATCAAGTTCATAAACACTGTTGGACTTCTTAATTAAAAATTGTATTATTGCGTTCAGGTCACACACAAATTATGCCTTTTTACTCAATATATAATTATGATTAGTCTGAACTTAAAATGATCAGTTAATCAAAACACAATATAATTTAAGTTCTGTCGATGTAAAATAAAACTTGATGACGTGTAAACCTCCCACAGTTCCTCACTTTTGCTCAAGCGGACATTTTCAACAGCACATGTTCAGGAAATCAAGCACTGTGTTGCTGGTGAACGGTAAGTAATTTTATGCGGAATTACACATATTTTACAGTCACCCTGGATTTTGTTAGTGATAGCCTAATTTAAAACAATGACATAACATATTATCTCTCCCGGTAGCAAGCGAGACGCTCCGGTTAGCTTTCACCCACATCTGTGTGCACAGCAGTTCGGCTGTAACATACACGGAGCCGCAAATTCCGCGATAGTAGAAATCCTTGGGCTTTTTTTGGAACAATTAATACTAACGTTACTCTGATATAGACCATTGTAATTGTCTTATAATGTTTCAAATATCACAGATATTGTTAGCCACGGCGCTAACTGCTATGCTAACGCTGGCTTCTGTAGGATGTGAGCTACTGCCCCCGCGACCAGACTCCGGATAAATGGGTGAAAATGGATGGATGGATGGACAAATAACATAGATTTACATGTAAGTAGTTTAAATAGAGTGCTGTGCTGTTTGAATGTATAAACTGAACGCCAAGAGAAATCACTAGTTTGATTTTTTTCCGTGAATAAAATAAATATGTCAGGCAGGAGCGCCTCAGGATCTGTCTGAGATCTGTCTCGGTGAGACAGATAATAGCAATCCAAAGTGCTTTTTATGTGTGATCTGACAATTGATCAACCATTGCTGAAAAATGGAATACAGCTTAGCCGGTTAATTGCTGTGATCATAAAACACGTAAACGGCAGCACGCAGAACTCACGAGGCAACGTTTTACGTGATGTTTACTTGTTGCTATGAGTAATAAGACAGAAAAAGCCACGCCAAAATAAGTTTAGGAAGCCCACTAAGAATCGTAATAAAATCATTTAAAATAAATACCATACACAGTTGAGGAAACGTTGGTTTAAGTACCTGATATGAAGTGGTATCTGCATAAGTGAAACCGCAGTTTCATTTTAGCCAGGTCACTAGCGCGTTTTATTACAATGATCCAACATTTGCGGCGTTCTGGATCGTGGGGAATCCTGAAGATGGCTCATTCCTTATGTCTTCCGCGTCTGTTCTTTATCCTGGGGCACAACAGGAATCTACCATATTTCCCGTTTGATTGAGTTTTCTGACAATAACAAATAATCCAGCTGCGGGTTTCTGCCTGCCAATATGGCGCCGTTTCAATTTGAACTGTTGCATGCCGGGAGAAGTGACGTCAACTCCCGGAGCTCTATAGTAGGGTAATTATTATTATAGTAGGGTAAGGGTGATTTTTGGTGACTTTCAGTGTTTTGTAGAGAAATATGGAGAGGCGACATGGACTGTTTGTACCCAGGATGCAACAATACCACTTTTTTCCAAACCGATACGATACAGATATTTGGATCTGAATACTCGCCGATACCGATTACCGATAACTATACTTCTACCACACAAAAAAATGTAATGATCTGGAACACAGATTTTCTTTTCTTCTCTGCTTTCAACAGGAAAAGACTGTGAGGAAGATAAAAAGTAAAATATATAAATAGAAATCATCACAAAACTAAAATATTAGGTAAACAGAAATGACAAGTTACAGTGAAACCATTTTCAAGCAACTGCATTGGTATCGGTTCCTGGTATCGGTTAACTTTTACTGATACCAGCATCGTATCGGTGCATCCCTATTTGTACCATTGATATGTCTCAAAGTTTGAAGAAAAAAATTGAGCTGTGTGGTAGCGGACCGCCATTTTGGATGGGTCTCCATTCACCCCTAGTGCAGGTTTTTTCTACAAAGGAATGCGTTCATCCAGTTAAAACACTTTGTCGTTCTTTTTAACAAAATGAGACATAAGGAGTGGCATGACAGGACAACCAGAGTCACATTTTCCAAACACAGAATGGCAAAAAAGTCAAGTACCCCACTGTTTTTAGCAGTATGCCAGTTTTTGCATCAGTAGGCTGCATAAAAAGGACCATAGATTCTGACTCAGCATTGACTCCAATTGGGTTTTGGAGAATGGTAAACCCAACCAATATGGTGGTGACGCTGCAACCACAGAGAGCATATATACATAGAGACAACAATTGTTGTTGGAGAGCTACACGCTTTGCCACCATATTGGATGGGTGATTATGAAATATGTTATTTTCCTGAGCCATTACTTCAGCCAAGATATAAGATGCATGGATTTGATGAAACCATGCTGTCTCATGCAGTCCTATCCGTGTAACACACACACACACACACACACACACTGCACTACTGTTACGTCCCCGACATGTGTTGGTAAAAATGTGAAGAATGGGGGTAACATAAGAACTGGCGGCGGAGTTTAAAATGGTTTTATTTGTACAAAAGGTATTAAAACACAAGCAAACAGATCTCTTTAAAAGGTTAACAGTACAAAGCAAATTATCAACTATAAAAACACCTGGTAAAAACTTCTTTTAAAAGCTTTACCACAACGGAACGGTGTTTAAAACCGAGGTCAATAAAATAGCCACAGACAAAGTTAACCTTTAAACCCAAACACACAAAAGACCCCACTGGATCATCCTCAACTTCTGACTGAGTTAAAACTACAAAGGTTCAAAATTCACACAAATCCAAACGAACAGGGGTTGAAACTAAACAAAACCTGGAGGACAGCAGAACCCCTGCACTGCTGCCTCTCAGACTGCTGAAGGCACAGCCTTTTTATACAGGCGTTGGCAATCAGTGAAGATTCCTTGCAGCTGTGCTCCTCAGCAGCCCGGGAGAGAGGAGGAGGAGGGGCAGTGTCAGGCTGATTCAGCAGGACTTGGTGATTCTGGCTGCTTCTCTCCACAGGCCAGCCTGGCATCCGTAACAACTACAACAATGCCAACAAACCTCTTTTATTTAAGCTAATTTTATATTTTAGAGGTCAGTTTGCTGTGACAGGATTCATCGTTTGACTCTAAAAGGCACGATGTTGACTTTACTCCTTGTCACCAGAGATTTGAACTAAGATCTCATGTGATTTCATGGTTTTGTCGGACAATGTGACGAGATGGACAACAAGCTTTTTCTACATCAGCTCAGCATCTGGAAAACTGGCTCTTTCTGTGTTTGCTGATGTGCAGTCCTGATCAGTTGAACATTCGATGATTAAATTCTGAGAATTTAATTAAATGGTTGAGTTATTGTGCTAAAACTATGCAGTCACACTTACACACACACACACACACACACACACACACACACACACACACACACACACACACGCGCGCGCTCCTTCCATCAGAAGGTTAACGAATCCCACTTTGACAGACACACTCAAACCTGTACTGAAACCAAATGGAAAGCGGGCTCTAGTGGGTTGTGACCCAGTGTGACCACTTCACACCAATCAGTCTTCACCTGAGTGACCCGTCATGTTCCTCTGTAAAGAGATGGACATAGGGAAGTGGTATCTGTGAACACAAATGCATAGAAGGACATTTTTCATCGTCTAATTTCAGTTCCTGGTCCTTGACACCGTGTCAATACTTGTCTGTCTGAAGGATGTAAGTATGAAAGGTAAAAGCTTTTACTTTTCAGTTGCATATTAAATGCTGATGTTTAAGCCACTTTGACTCTTGGAACTCAGTCCTGTTTTCTTTGAACCGGTTTAAAGATTCACCACAGAAATCCCCCAGTTGCATGAGAAAACACACATTTGTAAGGCATTAGGAGCCTCGACACGCCACCACTGGCCCATTCAGAAAGCTTTATGTTGAAGCAGATCGGTGTCTCGCTGGCCCTTCAGCTCCACCTCTGTGGCCACACTGGTGCCCTGTCACCCCACTAGGGAGTGGTTTCATCCACAAGCGGGTGGAGCAGAAAAGAAGCACAAGGAAGCCAGGACAAGCGGACATTAGACAGACAGAGAAAGAAGAGGCAGAAAGGAGAGTGGAAGAGGAAACCTGTAAGCCAAAACTATTTGTAGAATAAAACAGGATTACAGGTGTAACCTGCTCAGGTAGATTCTCCTCATACCCTCCCTCCTCTTAAACTAGAGCAGAGCAGCTCAGGTGGTTGTGTTTTGTGTCTCAGGGATCACTGGAGTCCCTGCCTAGGTCCCGCCCCCATGCAGAGATCCTCCATGTGCGTCTGGAGAAGGTCAGCCTGCTGGAGCTGTGGCTGCTGGACGCCCAGAGAAGCCTGGGAGCTGCTGGGTCATCAGCCATGCAGGACATTGTGGAGCAGCAACTCCTCACCTGCCAGGTAAGATCCACCCGCCACAGGGATGAGCTCACTCCCAGCAAATACAGCTGGGAGAACATGTTTTTCATGTGGAATTGTGTTAAATGGGGTCGTGCATGCGGTCTGACCTGGCTGACTGTTGAATAAACTTTGGTAACACTTCATCTTACACTCCCCTAATTACTAAGTACTTACCTAGTAATTACATGATAAGTTAAAGTGTATTATTACCATGTAACTCAGGTTCAATTCTAGCCATTATTTTTATCAGTCATTCCCAGCAATTACAGCTTTACACAATAATTACACTTTATTACAATTATACACTTTAATTACACAATAAAACACTTTTACTTACTATATAATTACCATGTAAGTACTTAGTAATTAGGGGACTGCAAAAGAAAGTGTTGCCTAAACTTTGAATGCTAACACGCATGTACCTGTCTTAGCAACCAGCTTAAATACCTCATCTTGGGTTCAAGAGTTTATCAGTCAGAAGGCACATGACCCCGTGCATGGTTGAGAAATCAGGCAGCAACACGTCTGTCCCACGCCTGTTTGTTTTAGTCAGACATTCTTTATCATGTGACTTCAGACTCATCCGGTTGGGTAAAGAAAGACCAAAAGTCATCAGCTAAGTCGATCCATGACTAGTTTACTGATCCATGAAATGAGTGTGGAAATGTGTGCAGACAGGATGTTAGAGGCCGGGATCCCAGGTCAGAGATCTGTTTGTTTACACAAGCTCAGTCCAATAGTGGCGTAAAACACTGTGATGTGGCAGCAATATTAGTGTGTGTGTGTGTGTGAGTGTGTGTGTGTGTGTGTGTGTGTGTGTGTGTGTGTGTGTGTGTGTGTGTGTGTGTGTGTGTGTGTGTGTGTGTGTGTGTGTGTGTGTGATGTAATTAAAGCAGCCAAACCACTAAATGTGGCACACCAGCTATCAGAGTGAATATGTAGACCACAAATTCCCACGGCCAGCCCACAGTGGGTCCAGTGATCCCATTCCCCAACGATCAACCCGGTCGCGCCCATCCTGCAGAATATTCTTTATTTATTGTTTAGCTGTGTTTTTGTTTTCTCCCAGGATGCACCTCCAGCTGAGTGCAACCTGAGCCTCTATTAAACCTTCAGAGGTTGAACATGTTCCACTGACCCACCTAACCTCTGAATGGAGCTTTGTGACTAAAACAAACAGCTGATGATGAGAACGTGTCTGCTATTCAGATTTGCTGCAGCCACACTGACGGATGCTACCTCATGACGCAAATCTGACTCAAACACTTTAAACCTTTGATGCATAAAGGTCACTACAGTGGACAGGTACTCAAAATTGTTATTTATTTATTTTTGCTATTAAGCACAGCTGTTGAAGGCTTTATTGCATGTGAGCCCCTCCATTTGGACTTCAGTTAGGCAAGCCAACATATTTCATGTTCAGAATGCACGCTGTCCACTGAGATGGACATGTAATAAAGTATTTGTAAATTAACAAAATGTCACAAAAAATTTGTTGAAATCTGTTTCATTCGCACCTAAAGATGAATGAAAAAAATTGTATAAAAAATCATGGTTGAAGATCTCATAATTCATGCATCAGAGGGTTAAAAATGCAAAAGCTAACATGAGCAAGGGTGTGGCCAACTAAGCATCCCTGTAGGCTTTAACCCTCTCAGGCTCAAAATGAGTTCTGATAAAAGGACAAACAACTAAGTCCTTCAGGGGTACTTCTGAGTTAAAAATTTCTCATGAAATACGTGTGTGGAGTAACCAGGTAGGTAGGTTTTACCGTTGCTAATCTGCAACGCCTGCCTCCAGAGGGTTAAGTCACACTATTATTAAACATCTCCTGAATCCATGAGCTTGGAAAATGTATCATATTTGCACATTTGCATAAATCTTTATTTTCTTATTAGGGACAGATAGATATTTTTTAATTAAAAAAAAGTATGCAATCTAAGAAATGTTTTGTTTTTGTAAGCAGCATTTTTGACAAAGTTCTGCTAATAAAATCTAAATTGTAAAAAAATGACTTTGGTTCACATTTAGGAAATGTTTCTGGAGATCGAGGCGAAGGTAGCAAACCTGCCAGTCCTCGGCCCAGCTGCAGACCACCAGCAGCAGTCTAATGAACTGGAAGCTGTGGGTTCCCAGAAGGAGGAGGCTGACCTTCTTGCCTCCAGACTGGATCTTCTGAAAGCCAAACTGATCTCCTTGCAGCGGCTGCTCCAGGACAGACAAGGGGAGGAGAAGATGATCAGCAAAAAACACCCACTGGAACAGACTACCACCGTCAGTACAACACCTCTAATAACACCAAAATGGAGATGTGTTACCCCAGTGTGTCTTTGTTAACACTGTGGTGCATCTTAAACAATTATTTTAACTCAATAGAGCTTAACTTTTCCAGTGAAGGAACATCAGATCGTCTGTTCTGTCTGTGCATGGATGTTTCTGTGGAACCCACTAGCTTACCTGGTCACACCCTGTTGGTTTACCCAGGAAGCATGTGTATGTGTGTGTAACCACGGTGACTCAAAACTGTTATGTGCAGTTTCTGGTCAGCAAAGGTCTGGAGAGTGCTGTCCAGTATGAAGTAGCTCAAGTCTGTGGCTCAAAGCCACTGAAACCAGTTTAAAAGCAACAACTGAAGGTGCTAAAAACTCGTTAGCAGTTATCGTTAACAGTTTGTTGTTGTGGTTGCCTTTGCTAACACAGCCAGAGCAGTGAGAGCCATTCTTCCTGTAATCAACTTCTTCCTGTCTTACTGGTGCACTGGTCTTCTGAGCTGATGCTTTCAGAGGGGAGGTGGTTCTGCTGCTGTCTGAGTCACAAAAAATGGACACATCTTCACTTTGGGGATGTTCAGCTTTTGTAGGCCAGAGCTGTCCATCCATCCATCCATCCATTTTCATCCACTTATCTGAGGTCAGATCATGGGGGCAGCAGCCTAAGCAAAGACACAGACTTCCCTCTCCACAGCCACTTTGGCCAGCTCCTCATTGGGAATCCCAAGGCGTTCCCTGGCCAGCTGAGAAACATGATCCCTCCAGCATGTTCTAGGTCCTACCTTGGTTCTCCTCCCAGTTGCATGTGCCCAGAAAACCTCACCAGGGAGGCATCCAAAAGTCATCTTTACTGGGTGTCAGAGCCACCTCAACTGGCTCCTCTCGGTGTGGAGGAGCATCAGATCTACTCCAAGCCCCTCCCAGATGACTGGGCTTCTTACCCTATCTCCAAGGAAGAGCCCAGATACCCTGCAGAGAAAATTTCTTTGTGCCGCTTGTATCTGCGATCTTGTTCTTTCTGTCACTACCCAAAGCTCGTGACCATAGATGGGGTTGGAACGTAGATTGACCGATAAATCAAGAGCTTTGTCTTCCTGCTCAGCTCTCTTTATCATGACAAGCCATCTTCACTGCTTTGGCTGGGTCTAAAAATCCTGACTTGACATTCAACCGGTAGCTGGGGCATTGGTATTGCCTGAGACTTGAGTTTATCGGAAGATTTAGATTTCAAATTCTACCTTTGAGTACTGTTAATTTGCATCAGGGTCCCACATGCAGGATGCAGCTACATCTGTTAACTTGTGGACAGAGGATGAATGCACAACAATGCCATGTTCAAGAGGCATCAGATATACCAAGAACAACAGGGGCTCCAAAACAAAACCTTGTGGTACGCCAAACCAGGACTGGACGAGGAGGAGGTTTGATGACCTGCATGCTGGTCCAGACAGCAAAAACCATTGCTAGTTTGGTCCCTGTATAACGGATAACTCCCTTATTCTTGAATAGTCTTCAACATTTCAAAGTCATTTTTGCTTTTAGGTTGGTTGTTAAATATGTTCTAAGTATTTACTGCATCCAACTTCTGAGCTGCAATATGTCCCTGCAGGGTGTTCTAAAAGGGTCACTCTATGAAATATAGGAGAGATGGTCTTGTCTTTATACTTTCTTGGCTACATGTGTGACTCCAGCACGCTTCACAATTTTAGATTTATCAACAAGATGTAATGAAATCCTAATCACCTAATTGGTTTGAATAGTCTAGATATTTTCCGCTCAAGATCAAACAGTCGAAACTAGTTGATTCTCAAAGGGGTTGCGAGGTCTCGAACACCTCATTAGTAGGTTCCTGTTTTCACTGAAATGATGTTTACTCTCATATCTGAGTGCTGATTAGAAGTCTCTTTTTGAAAATTAGCACATTTAAATGTGTTATGTGCTGTTTTTTTTACTTTTGTCTTTTTTAAAATGCTTTTCATGGTCAAGTCAACATTTATTTGTATAGCACATTTGACTTGCAACTGAAACCACAGACAGAAAAGTCAGAATACAAAAAACTATTTGCAAAAAAAAAACAAAAACAACAATAAAAGAGCACAGATAAAAGTTTAGAAGAACAAGAGATCATTACCAAATGACATTACAAAGCATAAAACTGCGTTTTCAGACATACTTTGAAACAGGTCACAGTATCTGCTGTTGAAGGTTGGTTTATGCTTATATATCTTTTGAATATCTTTTATCTTATATATTTATATATATATATATATATATATATATATATATATATATATATATATATATATATTAGTTGCTTATTTTGCAGAAGTTGGAACACGAGATCAGTGAGCAGAGAAAATTGACCCAGGCCATCGCCAGGCAGAGCAGCAGAGTTCGACGTTACAGCCAAGAGGACCACAGTCAGCTGCTACCAAGGTAACTGGCTCCATTAAAACTTATTCTCATGTTTATCTGTTTGTGTTATAAGTGTACGTGATATTTTAAAGTATGTTCTCAGTGGATTTGGTGCATCCAAATCTGCTTGTGGCTCTGGAAAAGTCAAACAACACACACATTTTATACATTTTATAAAAATACGGACAGATATTTCAGCCATGTATGTTGTGTGTGTGTGTCTGTTGTAGACTGTCAGCATGTTTGGTTTTACGCTGTGTTACTTAGCCTTCCTGCCCCTCTTAAACCGTGGTTTTGTCATTTAAATGAGATTGGTTTGAAAGTAAAGTTTTTAAACTATATTTAGCAGTTTGATGCATAAAACATTACATTGCAAAACTAGAAAGGAGAGTTGTAATGAAGTGTAAATGCTCAGGCGTGGCCCTTCGCTGCAGGTCGCCTCCTGCTGAGGCTGCTGTGGAGAAGAGTGTTGCACAGAAGAAGTGGGATCACCTTCACATTCGGCTGCTTGCTTTGGAGCCGAGCTGGCTGCTTCCTCCGGCTCAGGTAAGGCCTTTATCGTGACAGCTGAGGAGCTTGATTATCACTTTTCAAACACAAAAAGAAAAGAAAAATCTGTGTTCCCGCCATGCTTGATTATCACCTTCTTTGAGCTGGAGCCACTTTGTTGTCCCGGTGGTGTTATGGGAGCTCCTACAGGGCCTGATTAGACTTTGTGTGTCTTTTACTATCCTTCACATGTTTTTCTCTCCCTCCCTGTGGATGATTTTCGTGTATGCGTCTCTCTCTTAGAAGGTGACAGACTCATCTATGGAGGGTAGTGATGGAACAGCAGGGTGCATGATTGGCACAGAACACCTGAAAGAGCTTCAAACCTCCATCAGGCTTCTGAGAGAGCTAGGCCACACATCTGCAGAGCTTCTGAATCAGGTGAGATGTTATTAGGACTGCTTGTCAGATATGTGAAGTGTGTGTGTGTGTGTGTGTGTGTGTGTGTGTTAAATCCATCACAATTAAGCTCAAGTGTGAACATGTATGAAAGAATAAAAGCTCCTTGTGAGTTTAGAGAAAAGTTTGTAACAAAGTTCATCAATCACTGACCACTTCCTCTCTAGGCTGGAGAAGACAACCAAGCAGCCCCCCCCCCCCCATCCACACACGCATGCACAAACACACACACACACACACACGCACAAACACACACACACACACACACACACACGCACACACGCATCCACGCGCACACACACACACACGCTTGCACAAACAAACACACACACACACTTGCACAAACACACACACACACACTTGCACAAACACACACACACACATGCACAAACACACACACATGCCCACACACACACACAGGCATGACCACACACACACACACACACACACACACACACACACACACACACACACACACACACACACACTTGCATAAACACACACACACACACGCGCATGCACACACACACACACACACACACACACACACACACACACACACGCTTGCATAAACACACACACACACACGCATGTAGACACACACACACACACACACACACACACACACACATGCACCTGAGCACACTCTGGGGACCATTTGTTCTTGGGTTTTTCTTTTGGCACGTTTGAAAAAAGACAGAACCTGACATCACGTTTTGTAAAAAAATTAATTAAAAAGAAAGAAAGTAAAAACATTAAAGTCAGCCATTAAAAAGTGAACCTGGAAAGACATTCACCTCATGCCACTACTCCACAAGGTTCCTGTACTCACTAAAACGCGTGGGTGTATTTTGCTTTAAACGTTCATCTTTGATGTAAAGTGTTAGTGACCTTTGCTCGGCAGGCTGTGGAGGGCTCCCATCAGCCACCGGAGGAGGAAGTGTTTCACGCGTTACACAGACTCTTCCTGTCTTTGTCCTCCGTCAACAAGCTGCTGAACTGGCCTGCTGAGACGAATCAAGTACAGGACTCCCAGCTGGGTCTCCTGCAGGTACAGGTGGACTCACCAGATAAATCTGAACAATTATGAGTGAAAAATAACTAACTTAGGTAACAAGGAAATGATGTCACTAATTTATCTAACCCAGATAAAAAAAACTATACAAGATTTTCTTTAAAATGTTGTCTAAATGAAATGTTTACTTAATACAAATACAATAAAGGTGTGGAAAAAAACAAAAAAATGAAAACATTATTTCTGATTATAAGTCACTCTGAGTTTTCATGCAGGCTGAACATAAAATAGTCTCCTACACCTATCTCCTGCAGTAGCATCTGATAGAAAACAGATGATGAAATTCTAGGATATGAAAAGCCTGACAGATCTACGTCACACTGTCACTAACATTCATGGACTCACCCATCTTGACTCACGACGGGGAAGGCTGTTGTTGGTTTAGCGTCCAGGAAACGGCAGAGAACGTCTCGTCCATTAGAAGCTAATTGTTAGCATTAGCAACTCCACCACACAGTCCAATGATCAGGAAATGAGAGTCCATACCCTTCCATGTCAGCTCAACTCTGACCCCACCCCATGGAAATCCTACAAGGCCCTAGAGACCACTGCTAACGCGCTGATTAACGAGTAAACCACACCTTTAAAATGCTTTGCCCTGCACAACAGCACCTATAAAACACTGACGTTTCCGTAGGAAGGCTAAAAAGTTTGTCCTAAACTGTTTTCAGGGTCACAGAGCTTGTTCACTTGATGTGAAAACGTCAATCAAGTTTCATGTTGATAATCACGTCAAGTCTCTGTTTCAGAGAAAAAAAGCCACAAATGGGTCCATTGTTTCTCATCCTGAAACGCAGCAGTGTTGGTTTGCTTTTAGCGCCTCCTAGTGTCTGTTTTGATTTGCTGCAGTTAAATCCAAACTGAAACTCTCCTCCTCGCTGTGCGCTCCTGCTTCACTCCTTCATCTAACTGCTGACATGCACCTCAGCCTTCATTAGTTTAAATGTTCAAATACATTTTTCTACCTGTGACGTTTTTGTCCGCAGGTCAGCTGGTGGAGCAGATTCAGTCATCGGTACAGGTTTGTCCTTCACGCAGCACGAGGATGTTGCATAGGAGAAGGCACAGCAGCACCTCCATTTACTGAGGAGTCCATCAACTAATACACTGATTCATTAATTTACCAAATTTTAACTACTAACTAACAACAAATACAATTTAATTTAGTATTCATTTGTTTATTATCTTTAACTGAGGTTCTGAGATTTCTTCCTAAAGCCTGCCGCATACGAGAGCAAACTGCTGAGCTAACGGCCTCGAATGAGCTCAGCAGATACCTCGCTGTGTGCACCTGATTCTCACTGAGTTCTCTGCCTCATGAGACGGTTTACTATTTTCCCTCACGGGGGCTAAAAACTCGCCGTGTGCACCACGTGAGCTGCTGGCTGAGCTGAAATATTCTAGTGGCCAATCAAAGCGAGTTCTCCGCTCACATGACCCCAAGATAAATTCAGGTGCAGCCCCCTGCCCTGTCTGAGTGTCAGAAAAATAAACAAACGGTGCCTTGCAGATCGATGGGCCCTTTGTTTCCACTGCCCTCCGGAAGGATCCAGGCGACGGTGCTGTCAGAAGCAGTCTGGGTTTTCAAGGCGCATCTCTTGGAGTAGGCTGGCATAAACACCTTGCCTGGCCCTTTTCTCCAGCCACCGTACCCACACTCTCCTGACCTTGAAGTCACGGTGGCGGCGACGCCTCATCAACAAAAAGTAGAGGCATTTCCTCCTTTTCTCTGTCTCCGTTTACTTTATTTTCTGGCATGCAGACAGGAGGCTGCCATCTAAGTGTCATGTGAGCGGAGAGCGAGCTTTGATTGGCCACTAGAATATTTCAGCAGCTCACTTGATGCGCACTTGATGAGTTTTTACCCTCCGAGAGGGAAAATATCAAACCGGCCACATATTCACCTCAGCGTCTCGTGAGGCAGAAATCTCAGTGAAAATCAGACGCACACGCCGAGGCCTTGCAGAAATAATATACTAACACTTACCTGGAGATGGGATTTTAACCTTTGACCATTCTTCATCATGAGGCCCCATTTGTCCATAGGTGTTGGGTGGGTGGGGGTGAGGTCCAGCAGTCAGATGATTTAGTTATGGCCTGATTTTATGTCTCCGTAGACACGCCGGAGTAATAAACTTTTTGAAGCGTCTCCACATTGAAATGTTCTGCTGGTTTTGTCTGGCTGCTTGTGGAACGCTGTCTTTGGGGTGAGCAGTGGCGGGCGGTGCGTTCCACCCCTGGGCCTTCAGTGATTTCCTATTCAGTCCAATCTAATTTAATACACCTTAAAATACCATCAATAGGACATCACAGCTGGAGAAACCTCACACACACACACACACACACCAGTGGCTGGTCAAGACACATAATTTCCAGAGTCTTTAAAATCAAACTCGCATTCCCAGTTGAGAGTAGGAAGCTGACCACGGATACCGTCAAATCTCAGAAATGAAAGACGGGTTAAAGAGATGAGACAATAAAATAAATAAGTAAAGCAAACACATTATTTGCATTTGTTTTGGAGAAAATTGTACCGCGAAACAATTGAACATGTTGGCGCAGCTGCACACACCACGTTATACACAATATAAATTGCATAGAAACAGAACACATAGAATTATTTCATTTTGCCATTTTATTTCGTTACCATTTATTGATTATTAACAAAATAAAATGACAAACATTAAAAAAAATACTAATAAAATGTTTCTACTCACCAACATAAATGTCCAGCATGGATCTCCTCCTCTCCTGCTCATTAGAAAATAAAATCCATCCGTCTTTCTTTCCTGAGGAAAACCTCAGTGGCTCTGTACAGTTTATCAGTGTGCTTCAGGTCCATGAGTCGGTCCTTTTCTACGGACATGGAGGCTAATGCTGAAAGCCGTGTCTGTCCGGTCGTGTTTCTGGCGTACGTTTTAACGCGCTTTAATGCTACCAAATCCATCTGATGCGAGCAACAGGCGTTCCCAGCAGAATAACCTGCAGCGGTTCTCTGAAGCTGTTAGCCGTGGCATGGGTACCGTTCATAGTTGCTTGCCTGAAAATGACGAACAAATCCTTTCCCCTGCTGGGACAAGCCAGCTAGCGTTGGAGTCAGACGACCTGTTCTCACAAGATCCATTTTTTCTTGAAAGGTCCGTCTGGAAAATGGTGTGGCAAGTAAATCTGCCACCAAGTCGGTCTCTTCTCCTCTTTCAGCCATCATGTGTTCAAAAATACACTGATAACTGCCTATAGGTACAAATCTCCGTGTTTAGTTTTGATATTTTGCTTAATGCTGCTAGAAAAGTTCTAACTACTGCTTATCCAATCACAGGATGCGTTCATGTCAACTTTTGCGTGAGGCCAGCTAGCTGGCCCGGGCCAAGCTGACTCGTGAGCTGATTGGCTATCGCAACTGGCTCGTCTGTTCACTTACAGCGGACAGTGGGCTTCTCGATTGATTCTGAAGGCCTAGAGCAGACTTAATCTGCCTGAAAACCATTGGCGGTTCTAGGGGCGGGGCCACAGGGGCACTGGCCCCTGCTGAAATATGATTGGCCCCTGTAGTGCCCCTGTCCTGTCACTCATCTGTCCTTTGTGCGGTGATGAGATTATAGGTGGATGCAATTCCGAGTCCAAACACTAGTGGCCGTGTGGCGCTAAGGAGCAAAATAGTGTGTGAAATCCAACAGAAGAAGATTTGAAAGATTCCAAGAAGGGAGAACTTTTCAACCGACATCGGATCTGATGAGAGTCCACGTTATGAGGAGTTTGTTGGTAAGTCACGAATCACTGTTTACTCACAGTTGCCATGTAAGTCAAGTCTGACAATAAGTCCAATGGAAAGCAATGCCGACATTAGTTAAAGGTAATGTTAAAAAGGGCTTGTGAAAAAACGTTAGCCCTTGCTAATCCATGTACTTCTTTTGTAATCTGCATTTCGTGTGTTAATAGTTGGCACTGTCTGATAGAGAACATGAAAAGAAAGGGTCAGATACAGGCGGGAATTCTGCAGTTTTTTCCCAAGAGAGTGAGTGTGTCAGCTGGTGAAAACGAGCATGGAGAAATCAGAGAGAGAGCAGCAGGAGGCAGTAGACCAGAGGCTGGAACAGGGCAAGGGACCTCCATTCCCCCTTTATCAGGTCAGAAAGAATATAATCTTTATTGTGCAACAGTCATGTCAGATAAACACGAGAGACAGCCTCTTGTAGGACATACCATGCTGGGAAATCAGCGTACGTGTAATATAAACGCGCCGTGGCGGCATGGTGTTGCGGGAATTTTGTGGCATTCGTGCTGCCACGGTTGATACTAATATCACCGCAACGCCGGACTTGTGAATGCATATTACAACTTGGCGCAACAGAAGGGGGTATCATGATCACGTGGGCAGTTACTGCCGAGCTCCGGCCGGCAACTATATTGAAAATGAAAGTAAACATGGGCCGTAAGTTTGGCTTTTCTAAACAGAATCAGCTGAGATGATGGCCGGGGAGCCTCTCCGTAAGAGTTGAAGCTCAGATCACCAGAGACTGCACGGGGACAGACACCTTCTGGAGCGGCTTGTTAAAAAAGCTTAATGAGTGTGGCTTTGATCGCAATAAAAAGCAAGTTATGTCCAAGATAAACTGAAGTCCGTGGCAGCGCAGAGACCGCCCCCAAGCTCCCTTTTCACCGCCATCGCATAATCTTTTGTAAAAAGATCATGATTGCACCACATTATCCAGCAGGACGGACTGACCACTTATAAACGACCTAATGCTGCCCAGTGTGTTCTGCTTATAATTGAGGATAACCTTTTCCCATTTTATCTTGGAGCTGATCCAGTTAATGTGGAGTCATTTTCTTGCACAGAAAATTTGCATTGAGCTTTTTATATTTATCAGTAATAATTGGGTCAGTTATTCCAAGCACCAAAAATAAAGGATTATTGTTTAAATTGATAGAAGTTGTTAATCGTGACAAATCATTAGTGGCAAAGTTGCTTCCCT